GGGTGGCACTGTGGGGTCTGAGCCCACAGTCCTGTGGCCCCGCCTCTGTGCAGTGTGGACGGTGTCTTCGAGGTGGCCCTCTACTGCAATGTGCTGGTGTCCCCCGACGGCTGCATCTACTGGCTGCCGCCTGCCATCTTCCGCTCTTCCTGTGCTGTCTCTGTCACCTACTTCCCTTTCGACTGGCAGAACTGCTCCCTCGTCTTCCAGTGAGGCTGTTTATGTTGGGGGGTGGTTGTGTCAGGGAGCCGCTTAAGAGGAGCCTGGGCAGGGGTAGGGTGTTCTGGTGACACCTAGAGGCCAGGGGCCTGGCTCCATCTCCCACTAAGTCACTAAGTTGCCCAGGCTGGGCTTGAACTTGCAATTCCCTTGCTTCCGCCTCCACAGTCCTGGGATCACAGGCATGTGCAGCCGTATTCTGCAGGAGTTTTCTTGCAAGGAAGCCTTAGGGAGGCTCCCTTGATAATCAGACCTAGGAGAACCTCTCACGGCGGGCATGTACTTTCTACACTGTAGTTGGTGGTGGTGGTGACAAGGACAAACACACTGGGCCCTGGGCTCTTTGGCCAAGTGATAATACGGCCCTGTGCCTCCGGGCCCCTCCACTTAACATCCTGTCCCCAAAGAGCCCACACCCCCTGGCCCCCAGGGCTTATGGAGAACCCAGCCTTGTGGGGCTGCAGTTTTGAAGCCAGGTGCCTACACTGCTCTCAGACAAGTCAGTGAGTCCATGGGTGCATCTCCCCAGCCCTGGCTTACCCCGTTCCTCTGTGGGCTCAGGTCCCAGACCTACAGCACCAGTGAGATTAACCTGCAGCTGAGTCAGGAGGACGGTCAGACCATCGAGTGGATCTTCATCGACCCCGAGGCCTTCACGGGTAACCCGCGCCCGGGGCTCCCAGACACCAAGCCCCCCACCCTGGGTCCCTGCTAGATGTGGCCACAGTGACAAGGCCTAACCAAGGTGACAGCAGTCCAGAGTATGTTCCTGTAAAGATAATTTTCTCTGAGGACTCCAGCTCTGGAAATCAGGGGATCATTATCTAATCTTGCGCCCCACCTGTGTCCCTGGATGGTGCTGGGCCACGTACTGCCCCAAGGCTGGGACCCTGGGCTGTGGGTCTGCCTGGCCCACACCCCTCTGCCCCTGGCAGAGAACGGGGAGTGGGCCATCCGACACCGCCCGGCCAAGATGCTGCTGGACGAGGAGGAGGCGGGCCACCAGAAGGTGGTGTTCTACCTGCTCATCCAGCGAAAGCCGCTCTTCTACGTCATCAACATCATCGCCCCCTGCGTGCTCATCTCCTCTGTCGCCATCCTCATCTACTTCCTCCCCGCCAAGGGTACCTGGAACCGTGTCCCATGCAGCCCCATAGGGATGCTGGGGGGTCAGTGCAGGGCTTGCCCAGGGCACAAGTAGCACCGAGACCCCGGCTCCTTGTGGGCAGAGTAGGGCGGGCTGCAGGAGACCCACCCTGAGGGCCTCTTGTCACGAGCAGCGGGCGGCCAGAAGTGCACCGTGGCTATTAATGTGCTCCTGGCCCAGACTGTCTTCCTCTTCCTTGTGGCCAAGAAGGTGCCCGAGACATCCCAGGCAGTGCCACTCATCAGCAAGTAAGGCTGGGCCTCCACCAGCAGACCAAGGGACGGGGGTGGCACCTGGGCATGGGGTGCTCAGGGGCCACTCAGCCCCTGCCCTCCCCCACGACAGGTACCTGACCTTCCTCATGGTGGTGACCATCCTCATTGTCGTGAATGCTGTGGTCGTGCTCAACGTGTCCTTGAGGTCCCCACACACGCACTCCATGGCCCGAGGGGTCCGCAAGGCAAGGCCCCTCCTCACTTGTTCCCGTGTGCCTCGCTCTGTGCCTATCCCCAGCTGTATGCTCCCCTGCCCAATCAGCAGCAAACCTATCCCTCCAGCCTTCGAGCTCGAAAGGTGCTGGGGATACTGCGTATATCAACCTACTTAATCTTCCTAAAACCCCTACGAAGTGGGTGTTAGAAACATCTCCATCTAACACATGAGGAAACAGGCTCAGAGCAGTTAAGTAGTTTGCCCAAGGTCATGCAGCCAGAAAGTGAGGGAGGCAGGACTCTGTCCTGGCAGTCACACTTGAGTCCCCTGTGATCTGCAGCCCACGTGCAGCAGGCAGTGGGGCCCTTGTGAAGAATGCAGATTCCCAGGTCCACCCAGCATCCTAGGCCAGAACAGCCGGAAGTGTAGGGCAGGAAGCTGTATTTGTCATACAGGCCCTGGTGATCCTGATGTGCACAAAAGTGTGAGGCCCCAGGCTCTGTGTGAGGACAGAACAGCCAAGCTGCACAGGGCCACGTCATCACCCCTCGCGTGCTGGCTGCAGGCCCAGCAGCATGAGCCCTTCCACTCTGGAGCTCAGCTGGGCTGGCCAAGCCGAGGCCCCAGAGCAGGACGCTCACTCCCCTAGCAGGTGTTCCTGCGGTTCCTGCCCCAGCTGCTGCGGATGCATGTTCGATCACTGGCCCCAGTGGCTATGCAGGACACCCGGCCCCGGCTCCAGAATGGTTCTGCTTCAGGGTGGGCCAGGCCAACTGCGGAGGAGGTGGCCCTGTGCCTGCCCCGAAGTGAGATTCTCTTCCGGCAGCGGCAGCAGAACGGGCTGGTGAGGGCGGCACTGGAGAAGCTGGGTAAGGCCTGGATGTGCCACTGGGGGCACTCCTACCCAGGGATCCCAAGTGGCAAGCAAGGGTCCAAGCTGGGGAGAAAGGGACTGGGGGAATCTAAGCAGAGGTCACCTTCTCTGCCTGTTTCTCCTACATTTTACTCCCAAACCTCGCCCTCTGTCCCCATCAGAGAAAGGCCCAGAGCTGGGGCAGAGCCAAGAGTTCTGCTGCAGCCTGAAGCAGGCCGCCCCAGCCATCCAGGCCTGTGTAGACGCCTGCAACTTCATTTCCCGAGCCCGGCTCCAGCAGAGTCACTTTGGCAGTGTAAGCGGGTCACGGTGGGGTGGGGTGAGAACAGGGGTGTGAGATGGGGGCAGGATGAGTGTGTCGTCCAAGACAGGGCACTGGATGGAAAAGGCAGAGCTGGGAACAGAGAGAAGGGATCCGGGTGGAGGTGAGAAGGGTCCAAAGTAATGGAGGGTGGAGGCCCAAGGACAGGAGAGGGAGGCAGGGCAGGGCCTGGCGGTGCCCTGCTTATCCCTCCTCCCACCCATCCCGACCTCCAGGGAAACAAGGAATGGTTCCTGGTGGGCCGTGTGCTGGACCGCGTCTGCTTCCTGGCCATGCTCTCGCTCTTCATCTGCGGCACTGCTGGCATCTTCCTCATGGCCCACTACAACCGGGTGCCCACTCTGCCATTCCCTGGAGACCCCCGTCCTTACCTGCCCTCCCCAGACTGAGCCAAACTGTCACTGCTGGGCACAGGGCAGTCCCATTTTCAGGTTATGCTGTCTTGCCAATTGTGTTCTTCCGACCCTGAGGTCATAAGTGTGCTCTTTGGGAAGTGCCTGCTGGGGCCATGTAAGCCAAAGGGCCTCAAGAAAAGCTGGAGAAATAAAGAGTTGGAATCCTGGATTAGTTGGGCATGGGTGCGTTGCTGGGGCCGGCATCCACGTGGCATTGGCCAGCTCATCCTGGAACCATCCCCTCCTCCACTGAGTGCACTCCCAACATTCCAGGGAAGCGTTTTGGACTCCCATCATTCTACAGCCCTGAGGGTTCTGTTTGCATGATTCCCCCAGCTGGGCAAGGTCCTAGCCCTCCAGGCCTGGGACCAATTTCCCTTTTATGAGTCCTCTCAGCAGGAGGCCCTGAAGAGAGGTGTAGTGTGGAGAGCTAATAGGGCTGGCTAGCAGGCCCTTCTCCTGCCTGCTGGCTGTTGAATGTACTCTATACTTGTGTGCTTTTCTTGCCATTGATCACAAAAGATTTCTTGAGCTTTATTATCTGTTTTCATTGTTAAGGTTCCTCACAGCATCAGGGACAGGCCGGGGTTACTACTCCATGTTTCATATGGGCAAATTAGGACGTGGAGTACAGGGACTCCCCAGAGCACTAGTGGCTCCAGGAGAATTGGAGTCCAGAATTCCTGACTCTGACCTAATCTCAGCCACTCTTAACAACGATTCTATGGCCTGAAAAATGGGCCCTTCCTCCCGGCTTCTTGAAAGCCAGGATATCTGCACTGGTTCCAAAGGATGGCTAAAACCAAGAAGGGTAAGCAACGAGGCCTGGCACTGGGCTCTGCATCCTGAGGAGACATTGATTGGCCTCGCTTGGGGCCATTCAGGAAATACGATGACCAGCTGAGCCCTTCCTGAGCAACGAGGCCCTCTGAGTACCTGGGGCCCAAGGTTTATTGGCAACCAGGGCGCAAACTGAGCGCCAATCTCTTACGTTCCTTGAGGCCGTTTCATGGACACAACATTCGTTTCCACCCATCCTCACCGCCGGGCCAAATGTGGGGGTAAATGCGATCCAAAAGCACCCATAAAGCGCTGACAACGGAACCTCCTGGGAAGAGGAGAAACGTGTCCTAGCACAGGGTTGTCGGCTTTGGGGCTAAACCTGCAGCAGATTCATTGCATTTTCTCCTGCTTGTATGTCTGGCTCAGTCGAGGCCATAAGGCCCGGGAAAGGGTGGGGGTAGCGAGCTTTTATCCAGGCGCCAATGTGACTAGATGAGCCCCTCATTGGTTTTGTCACCTTGGCGCTACTTCCTCAACCTCTTGGAAAGCCTCAGAGGGCAAAGGATTAGCGCTGTAGCTCCTGGCACACAGTAAGAACTCGAAGATGAACACCAGCTACCATTTGTTGAGCGTTACTGTTTCTCCGACCTGACAGGGTCCCTAGGATCTGCCGCCAGCCTGAAGAGGTGGGGACGCTAGCAAGCAGCGCCAGCGCGGGCCCCGCCTCCCAGGTTCGGAGAGAGGCGGGACGCGCACGCGCGTGCGCACTGGACGTGAAGTCGGCTTTGAACTCAACAGGGAGGGCACAGCACGGGCAGTCGCCGGTTCCGCGTTTTTTGCGCAGGCGCTGTGGCCCGTCGTCCTTGGAAAACCATCCCGCACCGCACAGAGCCTGAGCGTCGACGTTCCGCTGCGTCCCGTGCAACCGGAAGTGTCTGGGCCCTTGGCTGACGGACCGGGTAGAGCGGAAGTCACTCTGTGAGGCAGTGGCGACAGTGGCGGCGAGAGGATGAACAACAAATTCGACGCGTGAGTGGCATCTAACCATCCTCTGGGGCCCCCTCCCTAACCGTTTCCCCGCGCCAGGCCCCGCGGGAGCTTGGCGGAGCAGCTCTGCGGCACTGGCCTCCCTCTCCTGCCGGCGGGGCCGGACCTGGAAGGAGGGGGCTGGGGAGCTCGTGCCGCGGGGTCCTGGGACCACAGGACCGGAGGGTGAAGCGGGGCCCCGAGGAGGGTGGCTGTGCCCGGAAGGAGATTTCGGACGCTCCGCCCCGGAGGGTGCAGGGACCTCGCAGCTTGGGGTTCCGCAGCCTCCCTCGCGTGCGCTCTCTGGCTTGGGAAAGTCACTCTCCCCTCGGGGCCTCGGCTTCCCCTTCTGCCCAGTGGGGACAGTAAGGGCCTGTGTCGTAGAGTTGTGCAGCAGCAATGAGGTAATGGGCTCCGTGGCTGCTTCGTTACGGAATTCTCGTCCTCTTCCTGCTTCCTTTCTCCAACACCGCGCGGTTGCCCAGTCCCGCACTCTCTTAAGTACCACTCTGATCCCTAGTTCCAGCATTGGACTGTTTGGAAGTGGAGAGAGGAAATGTCCGAGTGTTTTCGCGTGTTAACCCCTAATGATTGTATTTTATTTTTAATTCTTGGTGAAATTTTTGATTTTGTGTGCATGTGTGTGTGTGTGTGTGTGTGTGTGTGTGTGTGTGTGTGTGTGAGGTGTTAGGGATTAAACTCAGGGCCTCCGCACTGACCTACATCCCAGCCCTTTTTTATTTTTTGTTTTGATTTTAGATCTCGTTGAGTCGCTAAACTGCCCAGACTGGGCTCAAACTCCTGCCTTAGGCTTCGAGAGTAGTGGGATCACCATACCTATATTAGTGTTTCACAAAAATTGTGTCTTGAGATAGATTATGTTTTTACCTCCTTTTTAGTCTAATCTGCCTCATCTGAAGACCTAGATTTCTAGTCCCACACCCACCAGTTTTGGGGGGGTTTTTTTGGTACCAGGGATCGAACTCGGGACCTTTCGCTTTTGAGGCAGGCAGCAGAACCACTGAGCTAAATCCTTGGCCCAACAGTTGAGGGTGTTATCTTTTTTTTTTTGTACCGAGGATCAAACTCGAGTCCTTGCACTTGCACAGCAGGCGTGAAACCACTGAGCTAAATCCCCGACCCCCCACCAGTTTTTTGTTGTTTTTTATTTTGAGACAGGGTCTTGCCATGTAGCCCAGGCCGGCCTGGAACTCACAGTGATCTCCTGCCTCAGCCTCCTGAGTGCTGGGGTTATGGGCGCGCACCACCACACCCGTTCCACCAGTTGTTTTGACAGCAGAAAATTTCCCATTTTACCAGGATAGTTGCCCTACCCTGCTAGAGGGGCCAAATCACACTCACCTATGTTTAGAGTTGTTTGTGTAAATTGCTGTGATGAAATGTAGATACAAAGTAGGATTACTGTTAATAGGTTGTAATCTGATGGTGCTGACAGGAAATTAGGGTTTTTCTAAAACAGTGCTGGTAATGCAAATTAAGGGGGTACTGAGTTTCCAGCACTCCAGGCTCCTCTTCAGACACCTTTCCTGGTTACTAAGAGCTCTCTGCATCTTGAAATCACTTTTCTTTTTTTTTTTTTATGGTACCGGGGATTGAACTTGGGTCCTTGTGCTTGCACAGCAGGCAGCGAAACCACTGAGCTAAATCCCCAGCCCTCTGCATCTTGAAAAAGCAAATGGCTTCTCTATCCCACTTAGCTGACTTCAGCCCTGAATAGACCCCTTACCCAGCCTCGCTCCCACAGAAACCCTGCAGTACTTAGCTCTGGATCCAAGTCTTGCCTGTATGGAGCTTTACGCGCCCCCCCCCCTTTCTTCATTGATGTGGACAAATGAGATCCTACCCAAATTGTGCAGGGGTCTGCAGTAAGAATGGAAATAAAGGTTTTGCAATAGCCGTCTTCCTGGTATTTCTGTTCTTTCTAATAACTCTGGGAATAGGGTCTTGTACCTGTTCTTACAATGAAGGAGATGAGGCCCTCTGAAGTTAAGTAACTTGCACGAGACAGAGGAAAGGCCAGCCCAGATTTGGTTCAAGTGTTTCTTGACAAATATTAACCTCAGTCATGTTAATTAATTGTAATTATTAACTGTTGTACCGAGCCAGGATCTTTTAACATCTGTTCTCTAGCTTGGCAGAAGAAAAATTTTTTCTTTCAGTTGAAATTGCTGAAGACAGCACTTCTGCCCCTACTCTTGTTTCTGTTTTGGTTTCTTCACACACACATTTTGCAGGGTTTAGAGTATTGTTACATACTTGTAGTGGTGATTCTTCACTGCATCACCCTTGAGGATGTGTTCATCAGAATCCTTTCGAGCCAGTACCTGGAGCTGAGACAGTGTAATCAGATAAGCTCAGGTTAAAGAGCACTAACCTCCTTTACATTTTGGGTTTTGCTTCTGTGCATGTAACCAAAGATTGTGACTCCTTTGGGGAGGGTTGCCGGGAATATATACCTGTCAAGTCTTGAGACACTGCTGCCATTGATCCTGTTGATGTGTGAAATCTTAAGATGTTTTCCCAAGAACTGAAGTTTTAACTGGGATAAACTTGGTTTTCAGATTTTGGTTTTCTAGATGCCATGGTTGATTTGTCACTGTTTGCTCTGTATCGTAGGCTTTTGATCCATTCGTTAAACTATTGTCTGAATCACTTATTTGGCACTCATCAGCTTAATTTTAGAAATCTTAATTAAACAGATCTTTATTTTATACTACTGTCTGATGCTGGAGATTCAAAGGTGAATTGGATCAAGTTCTGACCCACGCAGATTTGGTCTAGCTCAGAGAGTGTGAGGAAATACCTGGGCAGAAGCCTCGTGAACTAGCCAAAATGCCAGTATTAGACAGCCTCCAGTGCAAAGTGCCTGCCTGAGTCTGCGGAGCACTGAGTTTTCATTCTGGGCTGTACCTTGGCTCAAATCCAGCTTTAAGTTGGGAAGAGCAACCTCTGGGAAATAGGTTGTATTTGCCTAAGTGTGGGCTTAAAGGGCAGGGTGGTAGTTAACTCCACCCTTGAGAAATAAAAGCACTAGGTGAACTTTCATTAGGTTTACATTTTACTGTCTCAGAAGAGAGTGAGGAAGTAAGTAGCCTAGGGTTCACAGTAACATTTTTCTTCTCTGCCAGTATTTTGGTTAGTCTGTTTCCTAGTAGTGATTAGCAGTAAAACTTTTAAAGAAAGGAACATACATTCTTTTCTTGAGATTAGCAAAATGAAAGGTGATGGGGTGACTGCCTTTCTTCAACCAAGATCTAATGGAGGGGACCAGAGAGGCTCTAATGTGAGTTGGAAGCAGAGAAGAAGAAATGTTTTGCGTTGCTAGGGTATGCCCTGTAGAAAGAAGAGAGTGAGAACCTATCTGCGTCCTAAGTTGCTTTGGAGCTGTTCTGGATCTGGAACAGAACTGGCTGAGACAGCGTAGTCAGGCTAAATGTAAATACTTATATGGGGAAGTTCAGAAGAGGGGAGCCTGGGGCCGGGGATTTAGCTCAGTGGTGCTGCCACCTGCCTCACAAGCCCAAGGTCCCAAGTTCGTTCCCCAGTACCAAAAAAAAAAAAGAAGAGGGGAGCCTGGCATAGCCTGTGTTGGGAGAGGTCAGGAAAAGCCTGTAAAGTGGCAGAAAGTGAGTCCCACAGGACAGTTGACTAGGGGAGGAGGCAGACCACACACTGAGAATAACCTGTAACTTAGGGGTGAGATTGGGGATCTGCACTTAGAGTCATGTAACTGGAGTGAAAGGATTTTGTGGGGAGCAGGCAGGAGATGCTGTTGGGCCACATGGGCAGAACGAGGTCTTTGCACCATGCTGTGTCTCAGGTCCTTGAGGACGAGCACTGTACTAGGTGATACACAGTAAATGTTTGGTAAACAGTGTTAATTTTTTTTTTTTTAACAGTGGTAATTTTGAACTCTCTGGACTTTTGTAGTTGGCAGGCTCCTTTTGAAAAGAAAAATAAGCAGCACAAGTTTAATTGGGAGGAGGATGTCTTAAGCACAGATAATGGCCTCCTAGAAGTCCAGGAAGACTGAACAAAGCCAGAAGATGGCAGCATTAACGACAGCCAAGCCCTCCCTCCAGGTTCTCACCTCACCTGCTCCATCCTCTTTTCCTCCGTTGGCTTTCTCTACTTTTGTTCCTCATAGCTTTTCTTGTATGGGTCCCATATACCTGCTCCTGAGTTTGTGGTGTTTTCCTTGCCTCAGTGAAATACTGAGGGAGAAATCTGCTCATATTTTTGAGCAAGGCCCTGAGGCATTAGATTACTAGCCAAGCTGGACTGCTCCTTCTTTAGGTACTGGGAGTTGAACCCAGGGCCTTCACATTGAGCTATGTTTCCACCCCTTTCTTTAATTTTTTACCTTGAGACGGGCTCAGTCACCAAGTTGCCCAGGCTGGACTGGATGTAACTTGCGATCCTCCTGTCTCAGCCCCCCAGAGTGCTAGGATCACAGGCATGCACCACCACGGCCAGCTAAAGCTGCAGTGGTCTTTGGTCGTGTCTTGGCCATGGTGAATATGGGTGGACCCTGGCACAGGGCACTAGCAGCTGCATATCTCCTAAGGCTCAGGCGATGATGTTGGCAGAGCAGGCACCCTGGGATGTGGCCTGCTCATCCTGCATAATATTTACTGCATGCTTTGTACAGTCACTGGGAATTCATGGGGAAAAGGAGAAAAACCTACAGATGCAAAATATTCTAGGATGTGTTTCTGTATCTGTATAGGATAATGTTTGAGTTGTATTTTGAGCATTTCTGGTACCTGGAGCCAGAAAGATTATTCTGGAAAAAATCCATGATGAGTGAATGGTCCAGCTCAGTCTTTCATTTTTCCTTTTCATTTGACATTTATTCAGTATCTTTTTGCCTGAGTGCCAGGGATGCTGAGATGATATAAGATACTGCTCTGAGAGAACCCACCACCCAGTAGAAAAACACAGGTACTGGGAATTGAACCCAGAGTCTCATGCTGAGCTACGGCTCCAGCCCTTTCTGAGGAATGGTGCCTCAGGCTGTAGGGTGGTGTTTGCAAGTGGCCCCGATGTGGGAACACAGGTTGCTGGGGGAATCAGTTTCTAGAGGAACTTACATGTCATTGTACTTTGTCCCGGAGAGTTGGCATCAAAGGGCCGGGGATAGTCAAGTCTTCAGGATGAAGTGAAATAATCAGACTTAGGTGTAGAAAGGTAATTATGGTGACATGTGGAGGATTATAAGGAGTAGAGATTGATGTCGGGGGAACTGTCTCAGAATTTATCATAATTAAAGTAACAAAAGAGGGCTGGAGCATAACAGTGAGGAAGGCTAGAGGAGGTGGTAAGAATTGGCAGTATAGATAGGTGCATTTTTAACCTTGATGCATAGTGTTACAGAGTTATTTTAATCCACAGACTTCTCATTATTGACTGTATTTTTGACAAAGAAAATGATCCCCTAAGCTGTGTTTGTTGTGTGACTTGTTAGGAAATCAAAAGACAGTGCTTTGTGGAGTTTACAAGTTAGCTGATGGGCATTTCATTTTATTTAACCTTCTAGTTTGGGTGTCTACATTCTTTTGTCCTCTCATCTCAGATACATCTCAAGGGCCTGTGTTTTGAGTGACCTTGAGTTCCTTACATGTAGTTGGTATGACCATGTGGCTTTATTAGGTACTAGGAATCAACTTGGTCATGGAATAACACTGTTTTGCCATCCCATTCAGCTTGAAAGATGATGACAGTGGAGACCACGATCAGAATGAAGAAAACAGCACACAGAAAGATGGTGAGAAGGAAAAAACGGAACGAGACAAGAGTCAGAGCAGCAGCAGGAGGAAGGTGTGCTTTGTGCTTAAGACTCAGTTATCTTATAGAATCTGTTTATCTGGAAGACACCAGGTTAATTTGATGGTGTCCTGTTTTGTAGTATCTGGGTTTGTTTTTGTTTTTTGTTTTGTTTGTTTTTTTGGAGACAGGGTCTCATTTTGTAGTTCAGGCTGTTCTTGAACTCATTCTGTAGCCCAGGCTGGCCACTCACAGGAGTCCTCCTGGCTCAGCCTCCAGAGTGCTGTTGCCACCAACCCCAGCTCTGGGGTTTTTGTATTTTTGTTTTTGTTTTGAGACAAGGTCTCGCTATGTAGTTCAGGCTACTAGTTGCCTGAACTAGTTCAGTTGTACTCACTGTGTACCCCAGGCAAGTTTTGAACTTGTGAAAATCCTCCTGCCTCAGCCTCCTGAGTGCTGGGATTACAGGCATACACCACCATACTCAGCTGGTTCTGTTTTCAAAAATCGAGTGTGGAATCCCTAGAGTTCATTATGGGCCTTAAACCTTTGCTCTTGCCACAGGATCTTAAGATCCTGGCTCACTTAGAGCATTCTCCTTTCTTGGATAGAGGAGGTTAATACTGGCACTCAGGCTGGTAGCTGCTTCAGAAGCTGCTGCTGAGTATTTCAAATCCTACATGTCCCTTAAACTTTTAGGCTCTTAAATCAGTAATAGTCTCAAGTTGAAAGGAACTTGGAAAAGAGAAAATTTAGGGAATGAGAGATAAGTGAATTGGTTTTTCCCTTGAGACATTAAGGAAAACATTTATTTAGCTCAGTGGTTCCGCCGCCTGCCTTACAAGCGGAAGGATCCGAGTTTGATCCCCGGTACCAAAATACTGAGTACCCTCCAAGTGTAAGCACTTTTCTGCTAAGTGCTAAAAAGCCCCACAGGTGAATGTGCCTGTGGGTCGAGGACCTTCCATTTAATAATAGCTGTGATAACAGTCACTGGCATTTATTGAGGACTTACTTTGTGCCAGGCACTGGGAACTGTACATCTACAAATTTGTTAGATTCTAGCTAGGCATGGTGGCATACCCCTGTAATTCCAGCACTCGGGAGGCTGAGGCAAGAGGACCACTCTGAGTTCAAGGCCAGCCTGCACTGCAAAGTGAGTGAGACCTAGTCTCAAAAAACAAAAAAACAAAAAAATTTTTTTTTCACTTGATCCTCTTAGCGACCCTTTGGATGGTTATTATTTTACCTATTTTGCAGGTAAGAAGGCGAAGCACAAACAGAGTAAGCAGCCTGCCACTCTTATGTGACAAGAGTGTCATGGAGGAGGCAGTGCTTGGCTGTGTGGGCATAGGTTCTTGGAATAAGATGGAAACGTAAATACCTGTGACATCCCAGGCATAGTACACTCTGGCAGGCTGAGGGAGGAGGAGTACAAGTTCAACCCCAGCCTGGGTCACTTGACAGCTGGGTCACTTGGGCTGAGAATGTAGCTCAGGGTGAAGGCTATGTAGTGCCCCACACACAGAGAGATAAAAATACTAAACTAATGTCTGTGGTTAGAGGTAGAAAGCTATGAAAGTCGTAAGAACACAGATAAAGTGTTCCAGGAGTTTAGAGTCATTAACACACTGAGGAAATGGACTGTGTGAGCAGACTCTTGGGCACAATGCAAGTAACTGAGATGGTATTCTAATTGTGGAAGTGATAAAAGTGAGACAGTAAAACATTTCTCAGTCTCAGACCATGTGACACATGCCTAGGGCTTCACCTACCTTTTTCACTTCCCAGGCTGTTGTCCCTGGACCAGCAGAGCATCCCTTGCAGTACAACTACACTTTCTGGTACTCCAGGAGGACCCCAGGCCGTCCCACCAGCTCCCAGAGCTATGAACAGAATATCAAGCAGATCGGCACCTTTGCCTCTGTGAGTACTTGATGGTTTTTTGGGGATTTTTTGGTTTTTTTGGTACCTGGAATCAAACTCAGGTCCTTGCACTTATGCAGCAGGCGGCGAAACCACTGAGCTAAATCCCCGGCCCAGTACTTGATGGTTTAATGGAGTGTGCCTTGGTAGGATATTCATGCCTGTGTTTTTTGTTTTGTTTTGGTTTTGGTTTTTTTGGTACAGGTCTTCGAACTCAGGACCATGTGCTTGCGAGGCAGGAGCAGTACCACTGAGCTAAATCACCAGACCTTTATGCCTGTGTTTTTGTCAGTGTGTTTACCTACCCTCCTGGTACCCTGGTTAACATTCTGGTTTTCTTACTCGAGTAACCTTAGTCCCATGGTCAGATTTGTTCATTCTTAGGTTTCTCATTGGCCGTCCATAGTTAACAAGTAAGTATCAACAAATATGAGAATGGTGGTTTTGAGCAGAAGGACATATACGTAAAGGATGTGTATCTGTGTTTTTTAAAGTAGATACTGAGTCTTAATGTGCAGAGTGACATGGAGGATACAAAATTTTATAGTTTTTGATATCCTCATGAAGTTGGACAGTAAATTTGAAAGCAAAGTTTGAAATTTTCTTTTGTATTTAAGAGCCTCCTGTTAAGATTTTGGCTAAGAGTGATTATCCGTAAAGTAGCATCCTTTTTCTGTGTTCAGAAAGAAAATGGAATCTCCAGTAATTGCTTTTGTGGGTGCTATCATACAGTGTTCAGGGTTTAGCTCATCTCCCCTCAAGTGACTAGTTTATAAACCTGGAGATCTGACTGCATTTAACATCACTCTTGTTTAATAAAGATTATTACTCACCTTTGTGTGCTGTGCATTTTCCTCTCTGAACAGGATCAGATACAGAGTTGTCACTTTCTTGAACTTACTAAGATATTTGCCCTGTTTGAAATGCAGAATCTAGAAAAGAATATAGTATTGTTACAATAAGTAAGTATTGCAATAAGCTAATAAAGAGGAAGGATAGGGCCGGGGATTTAGCTCAGCGGTTCCACTGCCTGCCTTGCAAGCGCAAGGTCTCGAGTTCAATCCCTGGTACCAAAAAAACAAAATAAAGAGGAAGGACACAGTAAGTAATGGACTTATTTAGTTTCCTTCAGTTGTTACAGTAGCCTTATGGCATCGTATTTTACAAATGGAGGATGTGAGGTTCCAAGTCTCTCATACACAAGTTGGGAATGAGCATTAAAACTCAGGTGAGATGGACTGTGAAAGTCAGATTCCAAAGCCCGACAGTATACCAAAATGCATGGCACAAGGTTACAGTATTTATTTTCCATTTCTTATTCATCAGATACACATGTTTAACTGGTAATAAGATTGCTTAATGTGAGATCAGCACCGTTGCTTTGCTGTATCGATACAGCTTCAGCCCAATCCAAAGGCCTTGTTTGGTTGGTAGGCTCTACTGCCTTATCACTGGTAACTTTAGATTTGTTTGAAATATTCCAAATAGCTTGTACATTGCTGCACACTTGATTCAAGAAATGCTTAATGAATTGAAGTCTGTAATAAGGTTCTAAAAAGAATTAAGACACAAAGCCTGCTTTGGGGAATAGGGCAAGCCCGCAGATTTCTGATACAAGGTAGACAGTGACTGGGGCTGTAGGAAGGACACTGTCTTAGTTGCTTCCTTATGACTGGGGCAAAGTACCCAACACCCACAACTTACAGGAGGAGAGCTTTATTTTGGCACACACTTTCAGTTCATGGTTGGCTGGCTCCAAGACGGAAATAGCATGGTGGAAGAGCCCAGCATTGAGGCCAGATGCTCATCCCATGGCACCCAGGAATCAGGGAGAATGGAGGAGCTGGGGAAGGAGATACTTGTTACTAGATCACATTCCCAGTGACCTACCTCCATCCAGCCGCCCCCGCCTCCTAAAACCTATAGCGACACCATGATCCAGTCACCTGCTAAACGCACCACATCTGAACATATGAGGCTTTTAGGAGAAAGTCTAGATGTAAGCCATAACAGCATGGCTGGAGCACCCTCAGGATTCAGAGGAAAAAAGCGTCCACCTTGGGGAAAGCTGCCTTGGAGCATATGGGCTTAAGATTCAACTTAAAAGATTTGAACAGATGATAAGAAAGGAATTCTTGGTGGAGGAAACAGTAGAATTAAACTTTTAAAATAGTTATGCCTTTTTTTTTTTTTTTTTTGGTACCGGGATTGAACTCAGGACCTTGCGCTTACAAGGCAGGCAGTGGCACCACTGAGCTAAATCCTCGGCCCAGGCCTTTCTAATATTCCTGAACCCATCACAAAAGTTGTGAATACCTACTCTTTTGGGATGTCAGACAGCGTGGGTAGAATGCCAGTCATTGTGTTAGAAATAACTGGTTAGACATTTGGAAGGTCAAAGAAGAAGCTGGATTGGGGAATATGATTTCATAAAGGATTCTGTTAAATTACTTTGGAATAATTAGGATTACAGTATTTCTAATATTTTTCTTTCCCTCATAAAAAAAATCGTGTATGAATTTACCCAACTTGTACAAAGAGAGTTTGTGTTTTATTTTTCTGTCCTCGTGGCATATATGTTAAGTGCTTTGTCGTCGGCACATGCATGAGTTGATGCACTTTCAATACTCACTGGATGCGTGACAGCATTTAAAGTCTGATCATGGAGTTCAAGACATCAGGAAATAGCTCTCAATATTAAATTCCTTGCAGAAAAGTAATTCCAACCAGAAGCAAACTGTGGCAGTTATGTATCAAATTGATAATATGGGGGGGGGAGAATTCCATTGTGAAACCTTTTATCAGATCCAAAGTAGCACATCCCAATGGTTCTTCATTCTCAAATTGAATAGCATTTAAAGATTCTTAAAATCAGGGTCACTAAGAAGGCCATGTCTTGAAGTGGGAAGGGCACCGGACTGGGGAATCCCAGGGCTGGTCTCTTCCGGTGCCTGACTGTGTGCTGGAGCAAACCCTGAAATGCTGCTGAACTGTGAAGTGACAGTCCACGTGGTTTCTGAGGTCCTTTCTGCACCTCATATTCCAAGTCTGTGAACTTTAATTTTCTGGTTTTAGTTCAGAAGAAACCTGTTCAGTTTAATGATATTTCTTATGTTTTTCACATTTTATTCCTCTTGTGGTTTGAGTACAAGATTGTGCAGTTTGGCTGTAAGATCGGGGGAGATCCAAGTGTTAAGTGAGTCTTTCCTGGGGAGTTTGGTGGACTTCCTCCCTACCACCCCCTACCCAGTTCCTGAGGCACAGTGAGCCACTGGTTCTGTGGATGTTCTCCAACTGTTGGGATGGACATTGTGTCCACATGGCTAATGTTCCAAGTCACTGAGCAGAGTTAGGCCGAGCAGTTGTTAGCACGAGGCACTTCATTGAAGTCTCATGAATGGCCTTGTTCTTGACTTCTGTTCCTGTGTTCCTCTTTCAGAGAGGAACTGGAGGGGACAGACAGCTGCTTCATGCAGCCTGAGATTAGCTTCTCCTCATTTGCTGCCCAGATCTAGTAGTATGACCAGAATCTCTGCCTGTACCCATTTCCCACTACATGACTGTGATGTCTTGCCTCATGTCGATTTTGTCTCCTTGGCACAGTGTTGGGGAATACAGCGAGCAGCTTCTCCTCAGACTGTCCCGTGTATTTCTTTTCCCTCCTGGCCAGTAGTTAGTAGGGTCCTCTGCAAATGTCTCCTCCCAAGGCACTAATGAAAAAAATGGGGCCAGCGTGATGACTATAAATGAGCATACATTTAATAGAAAAGTAGAAGTCTAGTTTTCTAATAGAATTTGAAGGAAGGGCAAGGAGAAAAATAATTTTCCTAAGGAAAGATTTAAGCTGGGCATGGAGGTGCACACCTGTAATCCCAACACTTGGGAGGCTGAGGCAGGAGGATCACTGAGAGTTTAGGACTAGCCTGGGCTATATAGTGAGCTCAAGGTCAGTCTGCACTACAAAGGGAGACCCTGTCTTTAAAAAAAAAAAAAAAAAGGATTTACACCATAACCCTGAGTCCTGTTGATTTTGGAAAGTCCTATCCTTAGCAACAGCGTTCTAGTATCAAGTAGTACATGTGGTTGATTCTGTCACTTATGCTCAGTGACTAAACAGAACTAAAGTGTATTTCATTCCAAATAACACTGTATTTGCCAGTTAAGTAGTCTTTGTTCCAGAATTGATTTGGTTCCAAAAACTGCATTCAGGTTGAGGCCGTGTGGCATGTAACATAGAGTCTAGTCACTATTATGCAAAACACTCATCCTCTAACTGCGTGTGACTATTCCCCTGCACCTCTAGTAGGAAAGGTGTATCCATGTGGCTGAGGCTAGCATTTCTCACCCAGAGTTTATTCTTGTGTTGCCAGTAATACATTGTTCTTCTGTCCAACTGTGTAGTATGTATTTCCTCTAATATATTTTCCTTTTCACACAAAGAGGATAGCTGTAACAGTGCTTTCCACGCTAATGTTCTTAAATAAATCTCAGACCTTCTGGTGCATTCAACCAAAAAGGAAAGCTATATCCTTTGCACTTTGGGGTCTTCTCTCTGCAGGTGGAGCAGTTCTGGAGGTTTTATAGCCACATGGTACGTCCCGGGGACCTGACAGGACACAGTGACTTCCATCTCTTCAAAGAAGGAATTAAACCCATGTGGGAGGTGAGAACTGAGGGCCCCTGTCTTTATCTTTACTTTTTTCTTTTTCTTTTTCATCCCCTGGCAGGGTTAAAACTATTTTAAAGTCTTCTTCAAAACTGCAACACTATCTGGATGCGGTGGTGCACGCCTGTAATCCTAGCACTCGGGCAGCTGAGGCAGGAGGATTGATGCAAATTCTAGGCCAGCCTGGGCTACATAATGAACTGAAGGCCAGCCCTGAACTGTATATTGAAACCCTGTCTCAAAAACAAAAAATAACTGCAACACTATTTGGTATATCGGGAATCCAGACCCCTGGGGAAAGGCACTAAAGCCCTTGTGTGTCTGCTGAGGTTGGTGCTAGGTGGTTTTAATGATGATGTTACCACTCAGATGCTAGTGTTACAGCATTGAAGGTTTGTTGTTTTTTTTTTAATTGAACCTTGTTCCTATAAAACTCATTTGTGTGTATATGTATACATAGTGTGCATATGATTAAAGTGATCAGAAAATAAAAGCAGTAACTGGAGACCAAAAACTGAGCTCTGATCTGTTTGGAGGGCCATTGCTGTGCTGTAGTGTAGAGTATCTTTTCTGATGCCAGAGCATTTTTCTGGAAGACAAATGTGGTTACATCCACTTCTGTTTTATGCAGCTTCCATTGCTTCCTTCACCTTGCATGAAATTTACCTTCCAAGCCTCTTTTCCCATCATCTCTAAATCCTCCCTTCCTTGCAGTAAGACCCCCGTTTGCATCTCCCTGTGCTGCAGTTTGTGCACAAATGTGCTCCTCCCAGGGCCCAGAGTGCCCTCACATGCTTTCCCTGCTTGCCCGTTTCCTGCTGTCTTGTTCTGTCCTAACCTACGGTGCATCTCTCTCGTAGCAGCCCTGGGCAGTCTACAGGGCTGTTATTACTTTCCTGTTTATTTCTGTCATTGGATCTGAGTACAGATTGAGGCTTCTTGACTGTGCTTGGTACATGGTGACACTTGGTGACCTTTTAACAAATGAAGTGATGGTCTCTTTGAAATCTGACATTACTTTGACTCCTACAGTAGTTCTGATAAAAGAGTATTCTTTTAAAAAGATCTATTTAGCCGTCTTTTTAAATGGCATGTGCTAAAGAGGCCTGCTTTGTTTTTCTTTTTGTTTGCAGTTTCTCCTCACCCTAGTCCTACTATCATTTTTTCTAAAGTTGCATAATCTCAACAGACAAGGGATTCTTGGCATTTCACTGCTTTACTGTAAGAGAAGATGCTGTAAACCAATGTTTGAACTTGAACATTTTCTGCCTTTTTATAGGATGATGCAAATAAAAATGGTGGCAAGTGGATCATTCGGCTACGGAAGGGCTTGGCCTCCCGGTGCTGGGAAAATCTCATCCTGGCTATGCTGGGGGAGCAGTTCATGGTTGGGGAAGAGATCTGTGGGGCTGTGGTCTCTGTCCGCTTCCAGGTAAGCACCCCAGGCCAGTCTGTGTTCTTGCATTGCCCTTGCTCTCCTCACTGCCTCTGGTTTGCTTTGCTGATGCCTTTGTTCCTCTGTAGGAGGACATCATTTCCATATGGAATAAGACTGCCAGTGACCAAGCAACCACAGCCCGAATCCGGGACACGCTTCGGCGCGTGCTTAACCTACCTCCCAACACCATTATGGAATACAAAACTCACACCGACAGCATCAAGTACGTGTTGGGGGTGTTGGGGGGGACAGGCCCCTGAACTTAGCAGACATAGCTCTGTAGTTGGGCCCAGAGGCACATGGTTGTGTAGGAGATTGGCTTGTGGAGAGGAGACAAACCAGACAGGCCAGCCCCTCCGTTGTGCTGGCCACTTTGTGTAGGTGTTGGCAAGGCTCCCTGGCTCCCTGCAGCATGGGGTGCTTTAGGGCAGAGAGCCCTTCCACAGAAACCCAGTTACCCTGCCTGTGCTGGCTTCGTTTCTACAGGCTGTCTTGTCTTTCCCATGCTAACCACTATCGGAAATGAAAGGCAAAGCGCTTTTATTTGGCTGTTTTTTTTAAGATAATTTCACTGAAAAATAAAGTCCTCTTCCCTGCCCATCCCTCACCTCCCTTTTGCATGTCTGTTTAACCTGTTAGTTTCAGTCTGTTTTCTTTGTCCTGGAAAATTGGCTTAACAGGCCTGATGATTCCATTTCCTTGTGTGTAGAGCCGAGGTTGTAGAGAGGCAGGGCAGCACATGAGGGAGGAGAATCAAAGGGAAAGCTTGCGGATTTGGGCAGCAGAGCTCTCTGTCCTTAGGACGAGTCACTGGCAAGCTTGCTCCTTTAGTGATCAAGTGTCAGAAACAAGCGCAGGTTGTTATAAGAAGGCTGTGGGAGTAATTGCCGAATCGTCTCCACAGTGGAGTCAGAACCAGCCAGCTGGGAGTCCAGACTCAGCTCTAGTTGCCTCCTGTGGCCCCAAATCAGTATGTGACTTCGGCGAGTCCCTCTGCAACTCTGCTTCAATTTCTCCAGCTATAACCTTGGGGATAGTAATGCTTTGCCTACCAAGATTGTGGGGAGGCTGACGTAATCTTTGTAAACAAGGGTCCTCAGGGAGGAAGCTCTTAGAGGGCCAAGTATTATGTTACTGTCATCACCACTGTTAGTAATAATGTCACCATCATGCGGTTCTTATTAAAGACTAGTAGTGAGCCCAGTGATTGTGTTTAGCAGCAGACCATTTGGGAGTCTTTTTCCCATGCATTCATGGGTAGAGTTTGCTTCTACCAGCTTGGTGCCAGCCTGATGGGGCGCACTGCCATGGGAGTTGGTCCGTAATCATATGGCTGGCTGTGACCATCATAGCCAGCAGCAGTCGCTAGCCTGCCCTGGTTCTGGCCCTGGCGCTCGCCTTGGCAGCCTCTGTTAGCACTGTCTTCTTAGGCACATCTGCCTTACTCTCTGTTCTGGGGCAGTCATAGTTTCTGCCCTCCTGCCAGGTTCTGTCCAGGCTGCAAAGACCTAGTTCTAGAACTCTTATTTTCAAGATTCTCAGGTTTGCCCCCCCACCCCATCCCAGCAACTCAGAGCCAGCTTCACATGTGGATAAGAAAGGGAAAGAGGTATTTTTCATCAACTCTCCCCTCTCTGCTGTTCTACCTTCCTGATCCCCTGAAGTGACTCCTCTTGACTGTTGTAGAAACGTGCACAAGCCCTTCAGAGTCCAGCAGAGCCTGTGGCCCTTAGTCTGACAGAAGGGTTGGCCTGCTATGCTGCCTTCCCCAGAGTGTGTCTCTGGGACTCAAGCCCTGCAGCCGTGGGGCCAGAACACCCTCCTCCAGACCCAGACACTGCCTTCCCTCGTGTCCCCTTCTCTTTCCTCTCACAATGAGCCACCTTTTGCACTTCCACTAGAATGCCAGGCAGGCTGGGCCCCCAAAGGCTCCTTTTTCAAAACCTCTGGAAGCCGCGGTTGAATGTGCCATGACCCTCTTCCTCTCTGGATGGCACCATCATTGAAGCTGGCATCATCGGAGTCCCTTGTTCTGTTGGTGTGCCACCTGGAAGATCCTTCTGTCCTGGACGAGAGGAATGGAAGAGCATGTTATGCTTTGAGAACAGGCTGATGCACAGCAGCCATGACAACAGCTGAGATCACAAATAAACGGTGCTAAACTAGCTTGTCTCATGCTCTTGCTCTTTATGGTGCATCAATCAAGATGTGGCCTTTGGACCTACTGTCACCATATTAAGGGATGGCATGGACTTCTCCATGAGGGCTGTCTGGGAAATGCAGCCTCATTTCCAAGAGCCCACTGTGTAGTGTCATGTGATACTTGGTCCCAGGACTGCTGAGGCCTGATGTAATGAGGTGACGTAGCTCTCAAAAAGACCCCATTCCATGGTACTTGAATTTAGTTCCCAGCTGGTCATGCCGATGACCAGCCCAGTGTTTCTGATTTTGAATTCTCCTTGAAAGTTTGTGAACCTTGGGAAGGAGGATCCTTGGCCTTTGCTTTGCTGATTTCCATTTGCCTTTACTTCAGAGAAATCTCTTGCTTAGAGGTAAAGCCCTGCTTTTGTCCATGTGTGGCTGCACACACATAGCATTCTTGCTTTGTGCTAACGGTGTTCTCGCTGGTGCCAAAGCTTCCCAGGCCCTGAGCTCTTTGCCAGCCTCCTCCCTTCTGCTTTCCCCAAGGAGCCAAATCATCTTGCTCTTGGAGCTAGTGTGCATGCATGATCTCAGAGGTGCGGCCCGCCTTCCCCCAGCCCAGGGTGCCTGAGCCTTGGGTTGGGTGGTGATGGGCCTTCGTCCCTGAGGGGGTGTGACCTGACACGCCAGCCTCCTGTGCGCCTTGTGGCTTTGGCTTGTGTGCACTGCAGCTTGCCCTTTGGTGCCTAACCTCCATGAAGAGCTTCTGCAAGCCTCAGGTTACTTTAGGTTTTCTTAGGAGCCACCACCCACACCATAGGTAATCGCTTTTGCAAGTCTTGGGTGGGCTCCTTCAGAGGATCTGTGGAAGTAGCTGTGAGGTTGAGTTCTCCACAGTGGCAATGCCACCAATGCTGTACCGCCCTGACTTACCCCAGTCTCCGTGGGGTCCCAGATCTTAACAAAATGACTGGAACTACCAACTTGGGCTCAGCATTGTGGGAATATTTGTATCATTGTTTCTTTGTTTATTGCATCCCCCAAATTGATTGAAGTACTTAGAAAATGAGAGACTTGCAGGAAAATGGAAAGATGCATTCTCTGTTTTTAGCATCTGTCAAAGAATGACCTCCTCTGGCCCTTGCCCTGCCTTCCATTGTCCTATTACATGCATTGATCTGAACTTCAGCCACATTGTACCTGCTTCAGCTTGGTGTCACCTTCCAGAGTAAGAGGTGATCAGGGAGCACCAGGCTGACCTTGAGGCGCCCCCGACCCTGGCCATATGTGAGCAGAAGGCAGAACTAGTTCTGCCTTAAGTCTGTGGCCTGTTTGAGCCCAGGGACAGCAGTCATTAGGGCTTGAGAATTCCAAGGGACATGAAGACAGACAGAGCCAGCAGTGGTTCTTCCGAGGTCCTCCAGAGATGGGGACTGCTGAAAGGGTAAGGGCATTAGGTCCTGTCCAGCACTGCTCCTCCACCTTGCTGTGTCTGTCATTTCCAGTGTCCTTCACCTGTTCATCTTTCCAGCCTTCCATCAGCCACTGCTGTGACCTTTTCCTGCTGTACTCCCTGGTGAGCCAGGAGAGGTCCTCTGCCATGCAGAAGGGGTGATGGGGTGCTTTGCTGTGGAGGGCTTTGTCTGCATTTATTCCTGACCATCCCAGAAAACCTGGAGCTTGGAAAATTGAGGTTTTGCTCATGTCATGGCTCCTTTTAATAAGACCAGATCACACTTGAGTTTTCATCGATTTGGGTCCCTACAAGTGTTAAGGGACTTGCTATATCCGCTGCTCTGAGGAGAGATGTCATGACAGTCAGTCATGGAGCCAGAGCTGGCCACAGGCCATCTAAAACAGCACTATCCTGTGAGGAAACACCTCTGGAATGGTCGCATTGGTTCCTGTGTGCCTCTGGCCTGGAATGGAAGAGGGGAAGACAGGCCTGGCTTCCCATATAAACCATGGTGCTGGGCAAGCCTGGCCGTCCTCTGCAGTGAAGTAGGGTAGGAGCTCCTCTGTGTTCTACAGGAGAGAAGGTCGATTGTGGGCACTCCTTCACCTGTCTAGATGTTACTGATACACAGGCAAGGACCCAGCCAGTTCTGGGAGGCCCTGGGTCGCCAGCATAATGCTGGCCTGGCTTTTTGTTTTGAGCTATACCACTGTGCCAGTCCTCCAAACCCTTGAGGGAAGCCCAGGTTGGCAGGAGGCATTAGGCTGGCTGAGTACATGGTTCTGATCCTTGAAGGCTTTGGATGGGTAGGGGACAGTGCAGAGTTACACAGAAATGAGATCTCTCTGCTCTCAGAATTTGCTTTCTGGTAAGTGAGCTGGGACAAATGGGCTTGAAAAGGCTGTTTGTTACTGAGCCATTGGAATCTGTTCAGAATCTCCTGTAGGCTGTATTAGTCTCAATGGTTTTTCTGTATTTAGAAACTCTAGTCATGTGACACTTTTTACACTTTCTTACCTTTAAAAAAGAACATTTCAGCACTAGATGTAGTTCAGTGGTTCTGTCACCTGCCTTGCAAGCACAGGGACCCGAGTTAGATCCCTGGTACCAAAAAAAAGAACATTTCAGTATTACCTACTATGGCCGGGATACCAGGCTAGAAAGTAGCTAGACTGTTCACAGCTCACTGGCTTATAAAAAGAGTGACTATTCCAAAGGTTATCTCCAACTATTTTATTTCCAGTGAATCTGCAGGAAAATTTCTGAACCCAGGTTCTTCACATTGAGGTTTCATGTGCAGTAAGGACATTTCTGAAGAAACTGGGAGAGCAGTTTAACACTGAGGTGGATGAGGGGAGTTCTGAATTCTACTTTAAGGACCTTGACTCACTCAGTTTAAGCTAGTTAGTAGGTACTGGCCTTTCTGGAATCTGAAAGATAAGTGAGCTGAAGCTTCAACACAGCTGTATAATTGCTTTTTGAAATCTTGTTTATTGATTAAGGTAGAATTTAAATGTTAGAAAAAAAGGTTTCCCACAGGTCATTGCCCAAGCATTGGATTTTGTTTTGGACTTGTCTCCATTTGGGGTACAGAGCAAAGTTGCCTTCCAATGTCACTCATGGCCTTAGAGTGCACCCTGTCACTATCTCTCCAGAAAAGGCCATGGGACATATGTCTCACTGTGGAGATTGAGTTTGGGGATTGAAAAAGCCTGGCACACTTGTCTTAACATTCTTTCTTCAAGCCAGTTAGCCTGTGCTAGTAGCTTGGGTAATGCTTGCCGAAGAAACCCTTATCTTACGATTATAAATGCTGTTCAAAAGAGGGAAATACTAATGAAATGGCTATAAACATTGGTTAGAAAAATGAAGTTGGATTTGTACCAGGTCTATATAATCTCTCTTCTTTGAAAAGTTTCGTTTTGTTTTGTTTTCAGTGCTGGGGATTGTAGCCTGGGCTTTGCACATGCTAAACAAATGCTTTACCACTAAACTACATCTCACAAGCCTGCTCCATCTTTTTTTTTTTTTTTTTTTTTTTTTTTTTTTTTTTTTTTTTTTTTTTTAAGGTATCTGTAGAAAGCCTGATAATGAGGTATATTTTAGAGGTCATAATATTAAATGTGTCATAAGTGATGTGGTATATTGTCATCCCAGGTGCCATGTCACCAACTTAAAGCAAGAATGAAATAATGTTAAAGAACTTCAGGTTTAAAAGCACTGGGTTTTATATATAATCCTCAAGGAATTTAGTGCTTCAGGCCTAAAACATGGCTAGAGCAGAAAGGGCAGATATCAGTTCCTCTGAGAAAATTTGGGGTGGGTGGAGCTTCCGGTACCTGAGGGGACCTAGTCTTTGCCTCCCTTTTCTCCTGCAGTCCCCAAGGCCCTGTTGGTGGACACTGCCCACAAGCTGCTACCCTTCCAGTCACGTCTCTTACCCTTTTCTTACCCCAGTTTCCAAATCGAGTTAATCTGCATGCAAGTTGTATTGAGCCTTGTTCCTGCCATGACCTACACAGCTTAACTTTTAGAAGAATTATTACATGGGTATTTAAAGAAACAGATGGAGCCTGTCCCAGTGAGGGTCAGAGTTTGAGAATGTGAAAGCAGAGAAGGTATGATTTCCCCATTGGATCTTTAAACAGTGTGTTGCTGTTGCTGTTGGATACTTGGCTTTGCCCTTGGGGTGAGGCTTGAAGAAGAAAGGCTGTTTTCACCACCTGTTCCCAGAGACCCAAGGCAAAAGGCAGGAAGTGCTGTTGCCCTTTGCTGCACTGAGTTGGACGTGTTTCCGGGTGTGGCTGAGCATTAGCTCTGACCTCAGTGGCAGATCCTCCAGTAATGACGGTCAGGCTTCCCATGTGGGGCACGCTAGGAGCAGGGCCAGCTGCCTACCTGTGCCCACCCAAGAAGAAAGTGCTGGGAGCCTGGCTGCTCTCCCCATGCTCCCCTGGCCACGTGGCCAGAGGGCATCTGGAGTGGGAGGTGGGTGATGGTGTCTGCTCACTGTAAAAGCGTTTGATCTGAATGTGCTATTGTGTTTTTTGTCTCTGGTTTGCCAGGGCCTGGGAGGAGTTTCATGGCCTGGTGAACAGCAGTGGCCGCTGATCGGTGCTCCCCCTCTGTCTCACACTCAGGGTAGGGCCTTGTCTACCTTCTCTGTAACCCCATGATACACCTATCAGCAGACGTACCCTCTCCCCAAGGGGCCGCCCTTGCCCATTGACCCCAGCCTTGCCCTTCTGCCAGCATCGAGCCTCCCTGGCCAGTCACACCTCTCCCAGTGGACCTTTGGCAGGTCATTCCACCTCATTGTGCTTCTTATTCCGGGCTCCACAGACCACTAGGTCTCTGAGATCCCTTTTGATGCTAACATTTTATGACGGTTAATGTGCCCCAGGGTGTTTTGTTTTGTTTTTATTTTGTGACTCTAATAAGACCATTTTCATGCTGTCTGCCAAAGGTCTGTGGCCAGAATGGCAGTTCCATAGGCCCAGATTGGGTTAGGTGAGTTATGTCTCGTTTGCTGGTGGTGTCTGTCAGTTGTCAGGAAACAGCACTGTAAGTTCAGACTTTGAGCAATCAAAGTAAATGAGGCCAGCGTGTACCTCAAGGCTATGGAAGAGACAGATGCAGGCTGCACTCCAGCTGGAGCATCATGGTTACCTCAGGGAGGGAGGAAGGGATGCCGAGACAGGGAAGGCTGGGGCTGCCAAAGCATTCACCTTCAGGACGTCTGTGTTCACATCCGTGTCTGGCACAGAGAATTGGGTAAGTTTATTCAGAGCAAGAGGAAAGGGTGAAAGGCCAGTGTCTACCTGGGCCACAGATGAGCACCTGCTCCGGGACACCAGGGCCCCCCCCCCACCTGTCCCATCCCTGGGAAGCAGCATTTCTGAAGTTGGAGCAGACCATGCCAGTGGCAGCAGCTGCTTCAAAAGTCCCCCCTTCCCGGGAAGGAGCTGAGGTTGTTCCAGAAAGGAGCCCGAATCCCTCAGGCGAGCTGGAGAGGGGTCCACTGTGGAACAGAAGCTGGTGTCCAGGGGTCTGGGTTCTCTGTGGTTCCAGTGTGACCTAGAGATGAGCAGTGCCAGGGCTCCTGCTCACTCAGGCAGTGCCCTCGTTTTTATTTTATTTTGTTGGGTCTCACTGTGTAGCCCAGGCTTGCCTCGAGCTCATAGGGATCCTCTGCCTCAACCTCCCGAGTGCTGGGATTACAGGAGTGTGCCACCACACCCGGTCCGGTTTTTATAGTCTGGCTCCATTACTGTAAAATGCAGTTTTCAGGTAGCAGTTCCAGATTTTTAAAACTAGTTTACAAGTTGACATAGAATTCCAAGATGGTTGCCAATGAATCTGTGTCAGCCCCTGTATTGTGTAAGTTACTGAGCTTCGGGCTGAAATATAACATACAAAGTTAAATTTTCAGAAGCACAGTGATGAAATTGTTTTAATAATATTACCATTTTAATTATTTCTAAGGGTTGGGGTTTTTTTTGCTTAGTATTCTCAAAATTAGGGTACTTAAACTGTGATAAAATTTTGTCATCATCTAATTGACAGTGTTTTACTTCTTTTGTGTGTGTGTGTGTGTGTGTGTGTGTGTGTGTGTGTGTGTTTTCTTGAAGTACATCAAATGATGGTACCTTTAAAAATTGAGAGCTAAGAGCAGTGGCTCACACCTGTAATCCCAGCATTTGGGAGGCTGAGGCAGGTGGATCCTTGGGAGTTTGAGGCCAGCCTAGGCTATATAGTAGGCCAAGACCAGTTTGAACTACATAGTGAAACTGTCTCGAAAAACCAAAAAAAAAAAATGACAGCCAAACCAGGCATGGTGGTGTACATCTATAATCCCAGCACTCAGGAGGCTGAGGCAGGATTGGCACAAGTTCAAGGCCAGTCTGGGGTATCTAGCAAGATCCTGTCTCAAAAAAAAAAGATAAACGCTGGGGATTTAGCTCAGTGGTTTCGATGCCTGCTGCTCAAGCGCAAGGACCCGAGTTCGATCTCTGGTACCAAAAGAAAAAAGATAAAAATAGCCAGACGTGGTGACGTCTGCTTCTGACCCTAGCATTCTGGGAGGCTGAGGCAAAAGGATTGCAAGTTGGAGTCCACCTTGCATAACTTAGTGACTTAGCAAGACCCTGTCTCAAAATAAAAAAGGGCAGGGGATGTGGCTTAGTCTGAAGGCCCTGGGTTGAAGCCCCAGTACTTGGGGGGGGGGGGGATGGAGGCATCTCAGTTTCCATGGAGAGAAGTCTTTAATTTGAAACAATGGAAGAAAAGCCCCTCTTCTCCTAGCAGACACTAAATCCCCCAGGAATAAATACCTTTGAATTGCTTTGAAAAGTTACATTATCCACAAGTGCACAGCTGCCTTGTGAATCTCTTTTGCAGCAGTACTTGATGGCTCAGGTGTTCCCTTTGAAGCAAGGCTTGGGAGTGTGAGGAGAATCCCCACAGCGCACTGTCTCCGCAGACTCTCACACAGGGCTCTGGCTTTGTCTGCACTGACGGAGCCACCCGGAGGACAGGCTTTACCCCGTTCACTTCGCTTTCGCTGCTTTCCTGCCCATGCCACTCCAGCCTGTCTTCCTGTCCCCCTTTATTTTTTCCCTAAGTAGATCATGATCTGTGAAAAAATTGGTAGGAAGACTAGTACTTAATTCTCGGGCGTGCTGCTGCATGCCTGTAATCCTAGCACACCATGGACAACGTCATAAGACCTCATCTCAGTGTAAAATAGAAAAGGCCTGGGCTGGGGATTCAGCTCAGTGGTTCCGCTGCCTGCCTCACAAGTGCAAGGTCCCGAGTTCGATCCCTGGTACCTCCCCAAAGTAAAATTTTAAAAGCCAGGGTATGGCTCAGTGGTCCCGCACTTGCCCAAGGTTTAATTCCCTGCAATCCCATCCATCTGTGTAAAATCTCAAATTCTTTTCCTCAGTTTATCAATTATGTCATTATATATGACTGACTGTCATTATTTTAAGACTTATTGAAGTTTCCTGACAAAGCGGCATCGGCCTTTGGCCGTGGCTTCAGCCAGAGTCACAGCACCAGGAACATCCTGGCTGGCCGAATGTCAGTGCTGGTGGGCTCAGGACCCAGGTCCATGTCCTTGGGGAGTGCAGCAGCATGACCCTCAGTGGGAGGAGAGACAGGGAAGTTTGCCCCACGGAACCTGGACAGGGTTTTCGGCTTTACTGAATGTCCAAGAAGAGGAAGCACAGAGGGCGTCTTCCAGGGCAGCCTCCCAGCCAGCCCCCAGGCTGGTGCCCCTGCTGGGCCAGGAGAGGGAAGGTCTTCTTAGGGACAGCCTTGCCCTCTGGCGCCACCCTCCAGAGCTAACCCCTGCTTCAGCTTGTTTCCAGGGATGGAAGTATCTCTGGAAATGCAGAGGGGAGCACTCTGAGGCACTTCAGGATGTGGGCTCCATTTTCCCCTAGGTACTGCACCGAAGAGTGTCGTGCTAGAAGCCTGTTTGGATGAGGCTCTCATCTAGGAGAGAAAGAATTCTTTCTTTTTTTCCTTTGCAGTGCTGGGAATTGAAACCAGGGCTCCAATGTACGCTAAGCAAGTGCTTTAGCACTGAGGTATACCATCACCAGCCCTGGTATATATTTCTTGTCTTTACTTTTTTATTATTTTTTAAAAATTGATTGAGATGAGGTCCTGCTGTATTGCCCAGGCTGGCCTTAAATTCCTGAGCTCAAGCAGTTCTCCTGCCTCAGCCTCCTGAGTAGCTGGGAGTGCAGGTGCATGTTAATCACACCCAGCAAGAAGAATTCTTTGCTGCTGCACTGTGGGACTGGGAACTCCTGTGTCCGGTTTGGTACATTAAGTGTAGCACATGCGTTTTCATAGCATGGCTGGATGCTAGAAGGTGAGCTTTCAGAGCTCAGAGTGGATTTCTGAGGTTTAGTTTGCCGGAAGAGAACAAAAACATATAAAAAGAAAAGGGAAAAGAGCTTACCTGTCTACTTCTTCTGTCTCCCCTCCCATTCCCTGTGTGCTGCACCTCTCTGTGCTGCAGTCTGAAGTGAATGTAGTCCCCCAGTTTGGGTGAATGCATGCCCAGACTGAATGTGGCACCAGGCTGTTCTTAGCCCGCTGCTTTTAGAAAGGCAGGACCTCAGCTGTCCGCTGTCATAGCCACCAGCCTGCTTGAGCCTGTCCCTGCAGGGCAAGCCTCCCACCCTTGCTGCTCTGTTTCCTGTGAATTCTAGAAACTCTTAGGTGGATTCTCCTGGCTTTTCACTTTTCTCCTCCCATTCCATTTTGCAAGTGGATCTTAGACTGACAGGACTGCCTAGAAGGCTTTCTGACTCTGAAGAGGTCTCTGATAAGAAAAGTAGCGAGCAGGTACTAAATATTCAAGTGGGAAGTGTGGTAGAAGTCAGTTTGCCTATCACAGGAAAGTTTTATGTCTAGTCCAACCCCAGTGCAGTGCAGGAATTCTTCCAAGAGATCAAATGAGCTACTCATGGTAATAATTGGCCTGCAGATCCCTCAACAGTGCACTGGGCTGGTCAGGTGCTTGCCTGCCGTCTCCCATAGTGGAATAGAGGATTCCTCTGTGGTCTTCCCATGGCCCTGCCTTGTTCACCCGCTTACTAGGGTAGAGGAGTGCAGTCCCCACTCGAGAACTGTCCAGGAGGGCTTCTGCATGCAGCAAGGGAGTAAAAGGGAGGAGAGGAGAGGAGCCCACTTCTGGCAGGCCTGCTTTCTGTACTGTTCAGCACAGCTGGAAGGTGGTTTCTGCTCCACAGGCGTCATCCCCACAGAGCTGAGAGGCACCACAGCCATGTTGGTTATCATCCTTTGCTGGCTATATGTGACTCCTCAGAGGGATCTGTTCTTTTGAGTCTTTTATACCGTCTGAGAGGGGTTTTTTTTAAACATGTTTGGTCTTTTTAAAGAGATGATCACCTATTAACTTGGTGTTCAGCCTTTGGCTTTAGACAAAAATGGGTGGAATGCCCAGGGGCCATTGATAGGTGAGCCACATGGTCAGGTAAATAGATGCCAGTGCCTGCAGAGAGCATGGGCTTCTCAGTGGCCTGGTCACTGGCCCTGGCTCACCATCCCTCAGTCCTTGTCTGTCTCACCCTCTCGGTGAGGGCTCTTACTGTGCCAGCTGCTGACACTAGCCAGCTCAAGGGACACTGCGCTCTGGCTGGGGTCAGCCCTCAGATTTTATTTACTCTGGTCCAGTTGCCTGGGGCCCAGTTATTTGTAACAATTTTAAGATCGGTCCCTTTCACATCAAAAGGGAAATAGTATGACTCCAGAAGCCAGATTAGTGAGAATGTCTGTCCATGTCTCTGCATAGTTAACCCCACAGCCCTGGGCTAGCACAGCTACTAGATGACCTGTAACACCCCTGCAGAGAACTGAGAAGTTGAGGTTCAAGTGACAATGTGACCTGCTAAGATGGCACTGGGCTGCTAGTGTGGCCGAGGAAAGGCTTGTAGCAGGTGCCAAGCTGCATCCACAGAAGGTGACCAAGAGAACGCTCGTCCCATCCCGAGGTTCTCATCAGGACACAGCCAAGGCCTCCGAGCGGGCCTCCTGGACAGCAGCCTTGTATAAGCAGCTCCATGTTTTAAATGGGGCCGCAGCTGGGTTTTGTCTGTCACGCATGTCTCCCCTACGTGCCTCTCCACCGTGCCTCTCCACCGTGCCTCTCCACCGTGCCTCTCCACCGTGCCTCTGCGGCCCTGCCCAGGGGCTGCAGCCACCCGTCTCTTTGTAGCCCCTCTTAGTGTATATGCATGCAAATGTGAGCATATAACCTTAATCCCCAAACCCCCCCACACTAACGGTAGCTACTGTGTGCACACTGTCCTGGGGGTTGGCTTGTTTGTTGGGGGGGCGGGGGCGTTGGTTTTTTGATACAGGGCCTGGAGCTTTGAACTCACCATGTAGCTCAGGTTGGCCTCAAACAGTGATCCTCCTGACTGACTCCGTGTCCACTGTTAGGGGACGTGCTCTTTAGGTTCAGTCAGTCTTGAGCTTTCCACAGGAGTAAAAAGGTGCTGTTTTCTATTTCTAAGCTGCGTAGTGTACATTATATGAATGTTCCACATTCATACTTAACCAGCCCCTTCTGGTCTGCATTGAGGTGGCTTCTGGCCATTTGCTGTTACAAACACCTGAGTGAAGCTTTGGCAGGGCTGGGAGTCAGGAGCTGTTAGGGTTAGGCTGGCAGGGAAGGAGGCCTAGGGTGTCTGTCCAGGTCACGTCCTACCCCATGTGTGTGCTCGTGTCCAGGCAGCCCATACTGAGTGCTCTGTTTTTTCCCATTTTCTCTTCCAGGGACAATTCAAGTTTTCGAAATACAAAAATCACATTGTGAAAGTGCACAAGCTGGCAATAATCCTTTTCTGTATGTGTGTTTGTCCGGATGGATGGGAGGCCTCCCGCCAGCCCTCCGCCTGCTTCCGGAAGGGACGTCCTGAGCCGTGCTCCCCTTGGCACTCCTTCCCGGAAGATGGAAACTGCCCAACACCCTCACCCACTACGGGCCTCATGAATCAAAGAACGGAAGACATGATTTTGTAACAGACTGTTTCCTGCCCAGCTCCGTGCGGGGCTCTGTGCTGGGCTCCCTGTGGGAGTGCAGCCTGCCCGTCTGCTAAGGGCGTGTGTGCGTGTGGAGCCGCTGAGTTATCAGTATTACAGGTGCCAGGGGACCCGGTGCCTCTTCCAGCTCCGCTGCTAAGTTGTCAGCACTGTCTTGTTCTCCCTTCCCCAGGCCTGCCACTCTGAAAATGTGTTATTGGTGCAGTGACTGCCTAGAACTTGGTGTCCTCTCCTGCCTTACCCTCAGCTTCCCTCCCGAGGGGCTCCGTCCTTCTCAGGCACTGCTGCACTTAGAACTGGAATCGGTGGGACACGAGGCTCCCTGACCCGGCTTCGGGGTTTGCCTTGGTGACGAGCTGGAGCAGAGCCAGCCTGTTGGGCAGCAAGGCTGTGATGTGGGTCCAGGGGCAGGAGAGGATCGAGGGCTGTGACCGGAGCCACTGTCCCATGTGACCGGGGCCTGTGTGCCAAGCTTCAGTGAGGAAAGGAGGGACATCTGGTCCTTGCCAGCTACTAACGCTTAGTTTGTGAATTCGACTGGGACAGCTGAAGACAAGGGGCTGCTGGATGGCTTGGCTTGTGTGTCTGTGCCTTTGGGCAGTGGCTGGGAGCCCCACCTGGAGTCTCCATCACCCCGTGTGGATGGGAACAAATGTGTGCTGATTGCTGATGCCCAGAGACCCCAGACAGCTCCCGTGGGCAGGCTCCAAAGGACCAGTCCCTCAGAGAAGCCAGGGGTCTGGCTCCGGAAGTGCGCCGAGTCAGAGGTCAGAAGAGCACCTGGCTTCAAGGGCTTTGAACAAGCAGCCTCCAGGCAGCACTCTGAGCTGGACGGCACCACAGGACCTTCATCACCACCTGCCCTTGGAACACCCCTGGGTTGGTGGGCGTCCCCGGCCTGCCGAGGTGTGGAGGGATGAGAGTAGCAGGCGTCCCTCCCTGCATTTGAGTCACTACCTTGGGGGCACTTTGGCTGAAAGAATCAAAGTGCAGGGCCCAGGAGGGAGGGAGGCCCTCAGGTTGGAGAAGAAATGCTGGTGCCTGAAACTGCAGAGAAGGAAGAACTCGTGAGCAGACAGACGGCTTTGAAGGAGGAACAGCAACAGTGGTGACCGGGGATCTGAGTGGACCCGGCCCAGGGGGGCTTCACTTTCGCCCAGTCTTGGATTGCTTGAGAATTCCAAAGAGAGCAGACATTTGGGTTTGCCTTCCTCTGGGTATCTACCTGACTGGTTGTGTGTGTGTGTGTGTGTGTGTGTGTGTGTGTGTGTGTGTGTGTGTGTGTGTGTGTGCATGCGCGCACGCGAACAGTGCGTTTATGGTTGAGGGTTTTGTAGGGCCTGGTGCTTAGGTCCATAGTTTTGCCCTTATTTTGGTCTCATTTGTTCAGATTTTTTAATCGCTGATGTTTTCTAGAGCTGCTCAAGTTGCCTCTTCCCCTTGATCAGTGTTTGACAGTTGCAGCTGTGCATGAGCCTGGGCGCGTGAGTCTGGACCACCCGTTGTCTCTGGACTCGCCAGAGACATCTCCACTTATTTTGATGTGTGGAGGCATGACAGGGTCACAGTCACTCAGTCACTGTTGTAGCGACAGGGTGAGTCAGGGTCTGCGGGGCTGCTCTCCCTGGCCCTCTTCGGGGTTTTCCCTCTGACTCTCCCATAGCCCTCCCATGCCCTTCCATGTGTGCCCTCCTTGTGACACTGGCAGTGGCAATAATTTTCCACCCAGACACAAGTTTCTGTTCTGTGATGCTCCAAGAATGAATTTCCAAGTATTGGCCAGTGGGGACAGCGGGGCTGTGGCAAGAGTGATGTAGTGTTGCACTTTGTGAGCGATTGTCCACTGTGGTAATAAATGGAAAATAGCAAGAGCTGGGCTGTGGCCGAGTCAGTGCACGGGAGGCTGGGAGTCGGGGAGGCAACACGGGGTCTGTTCTGGTACCCTCCAGAGCACCTGATTATCCCACACCTGCCACTGAGGGCAGGGCTGGGGATTTGTTAGAAAATAGTTTCTAATTGGCATTAATCACTGTTATAACTCAGTACTCAGTTTACCTTTTAAATATCAAAATATTGCCAGTATGCCAGGCACGATGGCACACCTGTAATCCCAGCACTCGGGAGGCTGAGGCAGGAGGATTGCTGTGAGTTTGAGGCCAGCCTCAGCAACATAGTGAGTTCAGGGTCAGCCTGAACAGCATAGTGAGAGCCTGTCTCAGAAAACAGAAGCAAACAAAATATTGCCAGTAATTCACCTTAACTGGGGGTAAAGACTACTGGAATGGAAGTGAGTTCGAAGGATTTGAGGTGAAAACTCTGGGCCTTGGTTTGGATTGATTACATTAGGTAGCTTAGCAGAGGCCAGCTGATGGCCAGCACCCACTGGGAGACGAGCTTGCTGGGCCCCAGGTGCTGGTCAGCTTCCCATCACTGTCATGAACTCCTGGGGAAATAAAGAGGAAAGGTTTGTCTCAGGTTAGGAGGCCCAGTCCAAGGTCACTTGGGCCGTGTTCTGGGCCTCCGTAAGGCGCCACATCAGAGACACCTGTGGTGGAGCCAGCTGCTTACCTCCTGGCTCCGGCGAGCAAATAGAATGAAGGGGAAGAGCTGGGGTCTCCGTGTCCCCTTCAAGGGACCCCCACCATGACCTGACTTCCTCCAGGCCCCGCCTGCTGAAGGGTCCATCCACAGGGTGGAAGCCAAACCTTTAACACACGGGCCTCTCAGGCATTTATGATCTAAGCTGTGTGGCACTTTGACTCCAGCATTCTGGGAGGCTGAGGCAGGAGGATTGGAATTTCAAGCCTAGCCCAGCATGGTACATGCCTGTAATCCCAGCACTCAGGAGGCTGAGGCAGAAGGATCACTGCAGATTCTAGGCCAGCCTGGGCTCCATAGTGAGTTCAAGGCCAGCCTGAACTGTGTAGCAAGACCCTGTCTCAAACCAAAAAGAAACAAAATTTTAAGAAAGTATTTTCCAAAGCCTCAAAGCACTCCCCACCAATAGTACTGAATTACAACCATGGTGCTTGTACATGTGCACAAAAATACATGGTGCTCCTCCAGGCATAGAGCTGCTCAGGTGCAGATGGGTTGGTGACCAGTGAGTGAGTGGGAAAGAAGATGGACTGTCACAGCAGAGGGGCTGGCTGGTGCCACCTGAGCCGGTGGGCAGCAGCAGCAAGGCACACGGATGTTTGCCCAGGGCCTGTCACCCCAGGTACACCGCCTTGGGCTTGGGAGGAACCTCTGGAAGCTGGCTCCGAGGTTCATGCTCTGAGCCCGGATCCCTGACCAGTGCTGCCCACATTCATCCCTCCAAGAAGACAGGAAAAACCTGGAGCCTGTCCCAGCGCTGCTCCCTGAGGCTCAGAATGAAGCCGAGGCTTGGGTCCATCGGTGCCACGTGACAAGGTGGCAACAGTCGGGGACTGGAGTGAGAGGCGTGTGAGACGGTGTGCACTGTCTGCAAAGCATAAAACACAATCTCAGCATTGAGAGTTCAAGGTGTGATGCTGGCAGCTCTGCCATAGGGCACCTGGCGCGCATGCACAAGGCCCTAGGTTCGCCCTCTGGCCCTGAAATAGAACAGACAAAATCTTGAGTGGGTGCTGGTCCTGTGAAGGCCAAGGCCTGGGTTCTCTTGCCTTTTGGCCAGGTGATGCTTCCATCCCAGCTGGGACCAGCGCTATGCTGGGCAGGCCTGCTGCTGCCATATTCTGCCTGTCACCCTGCCTGTCCTGAATCACACTGTGCTGGCGGTTGCTGCTGGGCCCAGCTTGGCACAGAGTGAAGGTGACCCAGCTGCGCATAAGGGACACTTCTGTGAGCTTTAGTCACAAGGCCATGTGTGGGGCTGAAGGGGGTTCCCATCCACCTCTGGTGGGCAGGGTGAACACCATGCAGGAGAAGTGGGGGGACCCCAAGTGCCAGCTGGTGGAAACAGACCCTAGAGAAGGTGAGGGCCTGGGAGGACCACAGAGGGCACAGTGTCAGCTCTGAGAAGGGCGCCATAGCCTACTTTGCCCTCCCAGGGGCGCCTTGGGGGTCTCTGGGGTTCTGCGTGAGGCAGATGGCTGGAGTTCAGAGTGGAGGAGGGCACCGGGCATGGTGGTGTCCGCCTGTAATCCAGCACTTGGAGGATCACCTCGAGCAGGAGGAATGGCCTGTGTGTGTACCCAGTAGCCTGGGGAGGTGTGGGGGGAGGCAGCTTTGGGGCCAAGAAGCACCTCCTAACCTTTTGAGCCCCTAAGCCCGAGGCCACCCACCTGCTGGGGGTGTGCCCTGGCAGTCCCTGTGGCGGAGGCAAGGGAGGCCAGAGGGCCCGTAGGACCCTGCTCAGCTGTGACAGAAATGGCCCCAGGGCCGAGGTGGTGTCAGATGGGACAGGCTGTCATCCCCTGAGGAACCGGCCCTGGCACCAGCAGCCACCCAGCCCCTGCCAGTTTGGCCAGGGAGGTGCTAAATGCCTGGGTGCTGAGCTTCTTGGGAAGTGCGAATCTATAAAAGGGTAGCTCAGGCCTGCGCTGCACCTGCAGCTGCCAGGAAGGGGCGGTATGAGAGTCTCCTTGCGCTGGTCAGGAAATTCCTCCAGGCCTCAGCGGCCCACACCTGTCGTGCCCCCTCCAGGGCCTGGGCCTGGGGCTCCCTGGCCTCCTGCTGCTGTCCCTCTTCCTGCCCTGCCCCCATGTCCCTGCTTGCCAGGCTGCCCAGAGCTAGCATTGGTGCCTCCTCTTTCTACAGAGTTGTTTCCCCCTTTATAAAAAAAGGGCTTTTAAAAATAGCCGGGTGTGTTGGTGCATGCCTGTAATCCCAGCTCTTGGGAGGCTGAGGCAGGAGGATCACTCATCAGCTGAGGCTACATAGATCCTGTCTCAACAAATGTGGCTTTTTTTCTTATTTCAAAAGTAAGTCATATAATTCAGAGATTAAAAGAAATGGGCTATCCTGCCTTGCAAGCACAAGGTCCAGAGTTCGATCCCTGGTACCTAAATAAATAAATAAATAAATAAATAAATGAAATGGGCTAGCAAGCTATAGCAAGACTCAGAGGAGGGCTGGGGTTATAGCTCAGGGTGGACCACTTGCCTAGCATACTCCAGGCCATGAGTTCAATCCCCAGCACCACAAAGAAAGGAGGACCATTAATACATAGTGCTAAGCAAAAGACGCCTGAGAAGGCTCGGTACTATGGAATTCTCAGGACAGTGTTCTGGAACAGGCCGACTGTGGGGATAGCGTGACAAGTGGTTGCCAGAGATCTGGGGGAGCCGAGGGGGGGGGGGACATGGGGTTTTAGGGCGGTGGAACCCTGCACTATCACTGTAGGCACAAAGATAACTTAGTTACAACAGTAACAGTGTGTCAACACTTGCTTATCACTTGAAACAAATTGATTCTTCATACTTTCTTCTGTAAATTGCCCCTCTTGCTGGGTGTGGTGGCCCACACCTGTAACCCCAGCTCTCTGCTGAGGCAGGAGTATCCCCTTGAGTTCAAGGCCCGCCTGAATTTACATAGTGAGACCCTGTCTTGAAAAAAAGGAAAATTGCCTCCTTTTGTCCGGAACTAATTTGTTTTTTTAATACAAAAGGATTTATTAAAAAACCAGTAAGACACTACTACATCATGACACTGTCACACTGGGCGTTTAGCAGAAGACTTGCTCTACAATACTGCTGGAAGGGCATAAAACAATTTGATTCTGAAGCATAGCAATTAAGAAATAATACAATGAAAGCAAATTTCTTTTAATGAAAACTCAGAATTAAACTTTAGGGGGACCCAACATCATACTTCCATTCGGGCACTTGATACAAAAAATTTAGTTTGAACTGCTGTTAGGTGGCAAGACCCACCTTCAAATGAAGCTTCACATCCTCACCACCTGTTGGGGATAAGTTGCAAATGGAATAATTTAGTATGTTTGCAGCAGTTTTGATGACCACCTCGCCTTGGTACTTTTCCATAACCACTCCGCTGGTCACCACCTCTCCCATGAGCTCTTCCCTAAAATCCTCCTCTTGACCCTCACTGCTGCTGTTGCTGGTACTGCTCCTCCGACATTGCTACTTTTTTCTCACATTTACTAAGCCCGACACTGTGGAATTTGTTTTCCTTATCTTCACTGGTTCTTCTTCCTTAAAGGTAATGAAGCAGACTCCACGGCTCTTGTTGGTTTTGTCGTCCGTGGGGAGCTCTATGGATTCCACCTCACCAAAACCACTGAAGCACTCTCTTATTTTCTCTTCAGGTGTAGCTGGAGAGAGGCCACCAATAAACATTTCTTAACGGGCTCCTTTGTTTTAATGGCTTTGGGCCTTTTAGAGTCAATCACCTCCCCATCCAGTTTATGTTCTTTCTTTTTTTTTTTTTGGTACTGGGGATCGAACTCAGGTCCTTGCCCTTGCAAGGCAGGCAGCGGCACCACTGAGCTAAATCCCTAGCCCTTCTTTCTGATCCATGACCTTATCGACACTCTCCAACTCTTTAGCACAAAGTCAAAACCCCCTTGATCGCCCTGTGATAGGCTCTAACTTCAGAGTGTACCCCACAGCGTCACCGAATTTGGAAAAGTAGTCTTTCAGATCTTTGTAGTGTCCCAGCTAAAGCCTCCTGTAAACATTTTCCTTCATGAAAGCGACCGGGGTTGTGGTACCTTCGATATCCAACGGTCTCATGGTGACCTCGGCGGAGCCCGACCATCTCCTCTCCCAGAGCGCTTGGTGCTGCCCACCTGGAGCCCAGAACTAATTTGTTTTGTTTGTTTTTTTGGTACCGGGGATCAAACTCGGATCAGGCGGTGAAACCACTGGGCTAAATATCCCTAATTTGTTTTTCGAGGCAGGGCCTCACTATGCAGTTCAGGCTG